CATTTCAGCGCTTGGGCCCCCTTTTTGTGAGGTAATGCATGCGTTACGGTATAATAAACTTATACTCTCAGTAAAATACAAAGTGCGTTTAATCCTTTAGAAAAGAGTCATAAAATTAACTTTTATGATAGAGTACATCTTAAGTAATTTTAAAAAGCTATTTTGTTATTAGTGTTTTCGTGGGCAAGCTTGTCACAGAATCCTAAAGGCATGAATATTTACGCTAGGGGATTATTCTTCTGGTAAGGAACGCTGATTGCTTGAAAAATAGAACCGCTTGCTATTATAAACGTGCCTTCATGTTTGACTCACGAATAATTATGACTGCGAGGCGGTCCAAAACCGCTATCACCTAGAAGCTGAGATCCCCCTATGATTTGCCGCACAAGTTTAAGACACAGCTTCAATCCATCAACCTTTTATTATTAAATAATTTTTTTTTATATATACTGAACTTAGCCCGCAAGGTCTTACTTGTCTTTGGTGTCTTTGCGGTCTTTGGGGAGCAAACACCCTAAACTATATTACAAAGAACCTTCCATTATATTGTCAAGTCTCCCTTGAGGCAAAGCACGTGAGAACCCTTTACGAAAAATTCAAGACATTCTGTACTAGAGGGGCATCACAAATGTGATGCGTGACAGCTCCTCCGGGTATGTATCAGTATAGACGACCATTGCAGTGCAGTTAACAAAGACGGAGAATGACCGGCTGTTGCCGAGATTGACAGAGGTTGTGGTCCGCCCTCGTGTCTTATCTTTGATTCTAACGCCAAAATGGATTTACTGTTTATAAAGCTTTAGTGAACAGGTGGCTCAAATATTTTGAACGCGCACAGGAACCTATCAAAGACGATCTTCATCGTAAAAGGCCTATGGCAACAATCATAGGCAAGAACATGGAGCTCCTTACGGTTTTCTTCCAACGTCAGGGAATCGTTCATCATAAGTTCATACAAGTACCAAGGAAAGCTATAAAGAAGTTTTAAAAAGCTTGCGTGACTCTGGCCGACGCAGAAGACTAGAACTGTGGCTCGACAAGGGTTGGGTCCTTCATCACGACAATACAAAGGCCCTCGCTTTACCACTCTTACAGAAGTTTTTGCGGAAAACTCGATGTGTATGTTGGTCCAACCCCGTATTCACCGAACCTAGTTCCCTTCGACTGAAGAAAAAACGTTTCGGAAAATAATAGAGAAATCTTTAAACAACCTGAAGGCTATACCGAAGCTAAATTTTGAAAAGTGTTTTAAAGATTGAAGATACAATTGGCATTCGATCCCTTCGAAGGAGCAACTTGAATTGGGATTAAATATATACTTATCAATCTGGATTAAACGACGCATTAATCTTTGAACAGGGGTTACATATATACACACACACACACATATTTATATATATACTTTCAGTTTTGTCTTTAACGTTTCCTTTTCTTTTTATATGTAAACGGTGTGCTACTATATACCATTCAAAAGTACTTTCTTTTCTCAGTCAGTATACTGCAGTTGTAGTGAAGGGAATTTTATGTCGGGTTTAGGCTCCAAAGGCGGAGGTTTTAGGTGAAAAAAATCCATATTCGACACGTACTCTGTTCTGTGTTTTCTCGATGTCAGATGGCTATTGAAGCAGCATTTATGCCATGCGCAGAGGCAACTCTATAACGGAAGGGACTGCTTAAAGCTGATTTGCAAAGTTCAAGACTCGCGCCCTGGAAGCAGAGGATGTACACCAATCGGTCATTTGAGATCAATGAAGACATACTGAAGGCATCTTTGAAGGAGGAGGAAAGATTCGTAAATTGGCAAAGAAATGAACTGCAGTCTTATGACTATAAATAAGCACCTCAAATCTAGGAGATTTACTTAAATATTAGAAGCTTAGGTGCTCTATGAGCTGAGTGTACGTTACAAAGAAATATGCCTTTTCACTGCTTTTTACGTCTAGCCTAGCATCGACCAACACGCAGTTACAGTGATAGGTTTCTATATGGAATTATAACCAGCGACAAGAAATGGTGTCTCCGCGCCGGAAGGAGCCGGTAACCACGGAAGGTACATCTAAGCCTATAGTTAACCCATCTAAAGGACACGATTATTTACATTAGTAAAGCCGAAAGTGTCTTATACACATAGAAATGTTCGAGGAGAAAGCGAACGAGGATTTGTATATTGCCCAGCTGCATTGCAATCCTATAGAAAATACTTGATAGATGGTTAAAAGTTATCCTTTTCCACGGCAGTGCCTGACCATGCATAACACAGATTGTGAAGGATGCCATGCAAGAGCCTATATGGGAGAATCTTTGTGTCCACTGTGCTACGGAAACCCCGCTTCGACGGATTAAGACCTTCTCCAGTCACTCGCAAACGAAACTAGTACCCGTACATTCGAGAATGAAGAAAGCCTCAAAACCTTGCTGTACGAGATCTTTAACACCTAACTTAAGAATTTCTGTCGAGAAAGGACGAATAAATTGATTAGCATATGAGAAGGGGTCATAAAGAGTAATGGTGCATACATAATAAATGAATTTATTGCTAGAATTTGAGTGCAACGCTGCATACTTGTAAGGTGAATGAAACGAAATTGTCTAATAAAAACTTTTATTCGTTTCAAAGGATGGGATAAAATATTGATCTGTAGAATATATTCTTCTACGCAAGTGTATCAACTTCCTTTGTTAAACGAACGGTGGCATCAGTCAGACACGTTTTGGGATGCTGAGTAAGACGGTCCAGATATTACCTCTTATGCAATTTTCTAAATATTCGATACTCTACATTTTCGCTCTTTTTTCTGCTCCTGAGAATGTTTTCGACATCACCTAGTACATTTCACTGTATTCCGAATCTACTTTCATGTTTGGAGATTAAATGACATGATTATATTTCTACAAAAATTTAGATAACGAAACAAGTAGGCAAGGTTTGTGCGTTGGCTTAATGACAAAATATTTATTCATGTATGTACAGTGATAAAAATGGCATCCTATGACCCTAAATTAGATGAAAATAATTGTTCGTCCTGTAACTACTTTTAAGGGGAAACTGAAATCTTCGTAACAGACATTTATTGCTTCGTGGCATTTGTTATTACCTATTAACCATTAGAATAACATGCAAGATGGCTCGCCAATGTATTTCCAGATCTTTAATTCTGAGCCATTCACCGTTCGACAAGTCATTGCGGAAAGCCCTTAGTAGGAGGCCCGAATTCGACTAAACAGGGGGGTCGTTCGGCTGTCAAATTTATTTTGGCTTAAGTGATATTTTGTAATGAGGCGTTTGTGCCCCTACGCGGTCTGGCATGACAGGCACTACCATAGATAGGTAAGATTTCTGCCGGCTGTCCTGAGGCTTTTTTGACGTGACCTGACAGAAGCAGATGAGGAGCAAACGGCAACGGGAAGATATAGCTGATCGACTGAAAAAGCTTGAAAAAAGGAGGGGATTAAGGGGCAAACTAATAGATAAAAATATACGCTTTTTTTAAAATAATGATTTTATGCTACAACAAACATTCGTAAAACGCAGGGCTTTAGATTCACCAATGTTTTTAGGTAAGATTAGCTGCAGGTGGGCAAACCCATAGGTTCGGGGGGCTAAGAGGCAAAATAGGCCACGAAATCACGTAGAAGATCGTTTGTCTTAGTCTTCAAACCACCGACGGGAGCAGGAGGCTGTTCGAGAGTGCTTTTTATAATTGACTCAGGTACAAGTAAACTCGGCCAAACCGTTTCCATCACCGATCCCTCTATGCATCGAGAAGAAAAAAAAATAGAAGCGATATGAGAAAAGCCGGATACGGCGTCGGAGACAGCGAACCAGCTACAAGAACCCGCTTAAGCTTCTCTGCAGTTGGAGCCGCAAACGGAAGCATGAGAAAAGATTCCACGTTAACGGCTAGAAAGAAGTAAGCCCTAGTAAAGTAAAAGCCTGTCGCACGGCTTGGCGAGCGTTCTTCTCATCTACGGTTCTCGTAAATCAGTTTTGGCGACCCCTACGTCGCCTTCGGTAACGCAACAAAGCAGAAGCATCTACAACTGCGTAAGGAGAACTTACAGAGGTTTGAAGCAATAAGAACGAATAGGCCAAGTTATGTATACATGGCCGGTCAGAAAGTAATGGCCATTTTAAACCTAACACGAAACACAGCGTGTTACTTAAATACCAGTAACAAGCTAATTTATTATGTATTTACCGTTACTATGTGACAATTTCTAATTCAGTTTTCAATCAGTTAATTCCGTTTCGCTAGAAATATTTGAACCTGGTATTAAGAAACCTGTCCGGTAGATTTTGAAACACTGTTCTTTGACAAATATCCTACTACGAATATAAGCTAGTGACTGAAAAAGATAGCAGTTTATCAGCATAAAATCTAAAGAATGGTAGGTACAAGAGAACCTCCTACTCAAATTCTTATTACCTCAAATGTGTGCGGTTTAGCATTGTTTTGAAGAAGGATCACCGTGCCTTATCCATAGATCCTTTTCTTTTTTTATCATTATTTCTCTAGTTTCATTTATTTGATACAACTAGTCCAAATACAAACCATTGTTTACTATTTTATTTTTCCCAGTGTAAAGCACTTGTAGTGCCACAAAACATAGACGATGTTCTTTTTGGATGTATACCTGATCTTCTGAGCTTAGGCCTCTAATCCAAAGTTATCCGTCTTTTTCTACGCTTCGAATCGATATAAAGTCACCACTTTTCGTCACTTACAATAATTCTATGTAGGACTTTGTCATTCTAGCTGTGTAGTGTTTGGTTTCGGATGAGAAACAATGAAATGTTGTCTTTCCTTGTGTATTTCACTAAGTACATCGAGCATTCAGATTTTTAATGTTTGACTACAGCCTATCAAATGAAGCTAGCTGGCGACAGTTGTATTAACGTAGCATACATTCTTTCGGCCAATTCGCGACTTATAGTGAAATACACTTCCCAAGTTTAATATACTACCTTTGAACTCACCAAACTATCTTTAGCAGTCCTCTTAGTTGCAGAGTTTTCGCTTTCCGCGTCACGGACATTCTGGGCTGCTCGGTAACCTTTTAACTACGGCAAACGATGAAACAAAGTAGTTGTTGAAGATGCATTTTTTTTCACCAAGGACATCTATTCTTGGAAACCGAATTCAAGGTAAAGTTTCTTTCACCAGATAACAGATAGGTTTATAACGGACTACAAAAAAGGAAAGAGCCCTTTTGAGTGGTATATATAAATAACAAATAGAAAAGAGGAAGTAACAAAAACTGACATTACCGTTCTAGCATCTAATATAACAAACTTGTTAACTCGTTCATATTTTTTTGGTTAATTTTAAACTTCAATTTATTTTCTATAATAGCTTTTTTAGTATTCTGTGTATATATTACTATATTTACACCTTTAGAACTATAAGGAAGTGTTAAACGCAATCTTTATGTTTTATATCTTCACTTCACAGTAGACCATGGATGACTAGAGTTTTTGTCCGGAACCTAATTATTCGCGCTGTGTAAATGTCTTGTAAACACATTTGTACATGAGATTGGTTAACTTTATTCTGCTAATGATTATTTCTAACAAGTTGATGCTGGTACCAACTTGGGTCAACAAAGCCTAATTTATATGAGCTAAATTTCAAGATGTCACGGTATTAAACTTCAGAGCTTATAACATATGTCAATACTACACAACCTGTGAAAACAAAAAAGTTATTTTTTTATACATAAAATACGTCAGCGAATATAACAGTAGAGGTAAACAGCTTCCCGTTTTATTACAGTTTTCCCAAGCACCCCGTGCACCATTTGCTGAACCTTGAGCTGCAATCTGTTATTTTGCGTACAATTCTTAATCGGAGGAGATTGATTTTATGACTTTCCTTGTGATCACGCACTAGCCGATTTTCCTCTACCCGATTTGCACGTACCAAAACGCCAAGTTCTTTTTGTTGATTAAGGTTGAGCATCATTCCACCTCATTGGAGTAATCGGTTAACAACAACTCAAAATGCGGAAATGCTTCGACCAACATGGTTCTCCATTAAATTGATTTGAAGATCCAACCGATTTTAATTTTGCTTAAGGCGCGCGGATCCTATGGGAAATTCAATTCTTAATCTCATAACTGTGTCACCCTTATTTATACACGTCCTATATAGCCCTGTTCCTTCAGAATAACTCTGCTGTAAGCAGCTCCAGCCAGAAATACTAGAGAACAGGCCACGAGTACAGCGTCGCCTTTTCCCTCTGATAACTAAGTCTTCAAATCTGTGGTCATACAGTGTATTTACGGATTAGATAATTTATCAAATTATCTGTTAAACTGTGATGATCCTAACATTATAAATTTATTACTTTATAATAACAAAACCACACCATTAAATTGGCATTACCGCTTCATCGACATATTACACTTCATGAAATTATAATTTAAATACGTTAAAGCCTGCACACAAAGAAGATTTTATACTCTACCTGTCAGCACAGCCCTCCACGGTTAGCTTTTACCTGTTAGTAATTTGCTGGCTTAGTTCTCACTGCTTTTTGAAGCTCAATCTAGAAAAACTCTTGTAGCAGCCCTATCAGGCTGTCCCATTGCAACATCAGATTTTGCAAGAACTGCGATATATATAAATTATGTTCCAGGGAATATAGACAAGGCACACATCGTTATATCGCAAACAGAATGACAGTAGATGTTGAATGCGGATTTTACGTGGGAAAGACATAAAAAATACCTGATGCTTTGTCTTTTGAATGTCTGAAGTTGTTACCCGATTATTATCTTAACAGTAATTTGCGTTGGTTTTAAGCCAAAAGATTCTGTATCACCCAAACAAGCTTTAATTTTTTAACTCAACTTAAGTGAACTGTATTCAAATATACAGGCTTTAAGGCCATATCGATTTGAATATGTATCGTCATTAGGATAACTGTATTTTGAGGTATCGTTATTTGTTAAGGTAAGTTGTTAAGGTAATTAAGGTGGCTATATTTGTCCGTGTGGCTGATTATTGTTAAAATGGTTTGATAAGGTCCAACAGAGGTCCAAAATAGCCAATATTTGAAGATTTACCCATTTTGGCATATGATTAAGCTATGTTTTTTGATAAGACCAGACTTTCGAGTGAATGCCCATAAATAATTAAACAACGCTCAAAGCACTCATTACCAAATGTAGTGAGGCCGTTTAGTAAACAAAAAATAGATAAACGTTTTATTTGCGGAAAAGCCCGTTATGTATTTGAGGCAACATTTCAACAAATTTAAGACAAACAATCGGTTGATTTGATGCCGATTAGGTGTATAAAATGGATTGTAGTGGCTATAGGATTCAGTTTAGAGAATAGTTTAAACGAAAATTAGTTGATACAGTATATGTGCATGAAGCAACAGTTAAACATTACAAAACAATACAATATTATTATTATTGCTAAGGCGATAATATGGCATACGCTGGATTTGCCTTGTTCATAGGTAATAAAAAATGAAGGTATCACCAATTTGTCCGTAAGAACGTAATAGCCATATAAAAGCAAAATATTTCTTCCGGTTTAAACTGAAAGCACCAAAAACATCAATTTACACGCCCGGATCCTAGACTGTATGAGCAATGTAGCGAAGATATCTTATTTGTCAATTAAATTCCCAGATTTTCCCCGGAAGCCCTTCGGTAACAGCTTGTTGTCCCAGGTGCCCTCAGGTGAGGTTTTTGAGAACACTGTATTTCTAAAGAAATACTTCCGTTCGACTAATCAAACGCTGAGTAGAAGCGTCATTTACTAAGTCTTAATGGTAAGTATATATTTTAACGAAAATTTTATACAGGATGCCGTTTACAGATGTGTGAGACATTCTCGTATCATCTAGAATAAACTCACTGACCTTAACTACGAAACTACTACAGATGTAATAAGTTTGATGATCACTTCACTATTAGGTTTGTTGTTATACTCTAAAAATGTTATAGTGTAATAATCAAAATAATCGAATCGAGCTTGGCAAGTCAAATTGTAGCGACAAACTTCTAAAGGTTACGCACCTATGTAGAACTTAGTAGTTCATCAGGCTGATACCATTACCTTTTCTTTATGACTTCGTATAGGCAGTTCTAGCTCACAGGGTAACAGTTTTCTGGTGACGAATGCTTCCTTTACTTATTAATAACCATCGCCCTCCATTTTTGAGGTCGTGAAGGCCCTATGGAGTAAGCAGAGCAAGGCTAAGTTTGTGATAACATTTTCAAGCGATGCCCTTGGGAATAATCCCAATGTCGTTTAGGTATGCGTCCCTTGGCGCATTACGTTCTGCGTTGCTTTGTTGAGTGGGATATGTATACAGGTTTCTTAAGATTGTAGTGATATATAGGCTTTATTAATCTTTTGACTGCCACGTGACCGTGATTTTTTGCCAGCTAATGCACTACTGCTTTGTTCCGATGGTACTCTATGATGGAAGATCGATGCGTTACTTGACGCATGACAAATTGACAGATTGACGTGTCTAGTATAATTAATAAAGTTAAAGTGGTAAGCAGTACAGTATTCTCTAGCAATGTATGATCTCGACGAAGTTTAATTGGGAGAGGAATAAGTGTTTGAGCTTAAGACTGTGAGTGAGGAAAATACAATTCTTAAATCTATACATCTGTACTTTATTTACGTTCCTTAGATTTCTAATATCATTGTTGGCGTTTGCAAGAATGTATGATCATTTTGACATTTCTTTTGATGTCATCACATAATAACAATTTCATCTGCCGGCTTCCGCAGATATTTAATTTCCTCCAAACTTACTTTCTTTCAAATAACAAGAAAACCAGCTTTAGTTTATTATAGTAGACCTCAAGTACATGCCTATGCGTGTAATAAGAACAATACAAACATTGAAGGGCACAGACTTAACGATTTTTTATTAATCTAAAAATATAATTACTATATTCATATTTCTTTAAGGATGCTGACAGGTGCCGCATTAACTTATATCATGGCATAGACGCCTAATCTACTGAGAAAAGAGTGAGTCTTTATTTACGTTTTGTCAAAAAACTACTACATTGTCTCGAACCGCTGTTAATACAGAATATAGGATCGTTAAGACTAACATAGGTAAACATTTGGGTGTTCAATAAGCGTTTAGAACGGTATCTAGCCTCACCGCTGAAAGAGGCAACTCTTGAGGATACAAGTAAACAGCTAAGTATATTTCGTGTTTGTTCGAGTTTAGACTGTAGACATGTTATGACAAATTGTAACAGTGGACCACTGAGATCCGTTCTTCAACAAAAATTTTGATTAGAAACGCTGCACTACGCGAAAATACAAGCTGAGCAGCTCGAAATTTAAAGGGTGCTTTTTTATAGTTAGCAGTTTTACATGACTGTACCAAAGTCTAAGGTGAACCAGGTCCAGAACGACCAAAACGGCTATAAGATGATATAATATAATCATATAAGGTGGACTCAAGATCTATGACATATTTTTGCCCAGGATAACAAATCAAGGCTAGCCGTAAAAGTCCCGGGCTAAATTCATGAGCATTATCTTCGCAAAACCTAAGGACGGCGTATTTTACTGCAACTAATTATTCTGAAAATAACCTGACTTGTGTTTTGAGTTCCGACCGAAACTTTAACCGGTTTGAGGAGAAATCGTTTTGTGTAGCTTTGTATCACCTCATCAAAGCTGAACTTGCTTCTACCAGACCTACACAACATTGAGGACTTGAGCACAATTGTAAGCGACGAAAGAACGCCCACTAAGATTAATATTGGTAATATTTGTTCACTACCTCCTACAGGTGCGCCATAAACTTTAGATCAACTATTTTGCTACAAATGTATCGGACGTAAAAGCTCAAAAAATTTATTTAGATGTAGGGACAACGAGCGATTACTATGCTGCTTTACGCTTCGTTTGATCTTTTCTTTGTATGAAAAAAGGTTCGACTATATAAAAGCTAATCTTAAGACGACAACGAATCCGCGCAGTTACCCCCATTCTCACGAAGAATAAATTAAGAAATTCGAACAACAGAGATATTAGCATAAGCTCAGTGACTAAAGTGAAA